GGGCCTGAATGCATGAAGACCCCACACTTCAGCCTAGTTATCTGGGATGCTTGTCTTTTCTGGCATAAAAAGAGCTATCTTCCTGCCCACACCCACCCCACCTACCTCAGGTGCCCCCACTGCGGAGGCAGCTCATCCTGGGCTTTCTGTCAAACAAGGTCAGAGCATGTTGGGGGCTGGATAAATCCATCATTGGTCCAGAATGTATGGGGGCTCATGACCTCTCTGCCCACTCTAGCTGCCAGCAGGTATGGGCTGGCTGGCCCTGGCTACAGACACAGGGAGAGGATTCTGAAGGGCTGTTCAGGGGAAGCCTTGCTGAGGGGCACAGAGCCTTGGGGAGGGAGGGGCAGCAATGGGGGCGCTCTCACCAGCCCCTGCCTCTTCAACGCATGTGTCCATCTGACTCTCATAAAGGCTTGGGCTTGCAGTTTCGGGCACTTGCAGAAGCAGGGGACTTCTGGGGCTCCCTCACTGATAGAATCTACAGTCTGGCAAAGAACATGCCAAGAGGAAGAGGCAAGAGAGGGAGGGTCAGACCAGACGAAGCGGGGGGGGGGGCGGCTGAGGGAGGTCATTCCATGACTTGATTCTCTTGGAATCTGTCCTGATCATACAAAAGTGGCCTGGGAGAGCAGCGAGGGCTGGGACTCTGACAGTATCTTCATGGATGCTGAAGGGAGACATGGCCCAAGTCCTCCCCTGAGGTCTTCCCTGATGAAGATGTGGCAGAAAGGAGGGCAAAGTAGGAATGCTGGTGAGCCCTCATTCCTGTTCCCTCACATCTGGAAACTGGAGGGATCCATCCTTGGGGTGTGCGGTTGCCGCCTGAGACTGGGAGGACTCATCAGAGAGCTGGAGGGAGCTGAGGCTGGCCACCAGGGGGCAGCTGTGAGCCCCCACAGCCTTGCCAACCTGCACAGCTCCCCCTCAGGGAAAGTCAGGCCTTGGCCGGCTGAGACCTTGCTTTAAAAATCCCAGCAAGCAGCTGCTCCACTGCCCCCATGAGGGGTCCTCAGGTGGGGAGGGGTGAGATGCCCTCCAAGAAACCTTTGCCCCAACAGGCAGACCCCGAACCCAACCAGGTGTCAGCACCAAAAATGGGAGCCAATGCTGTAATAACCTGGCCTTGGTGGGACCTCCAACCCTGGCCTCAGACTGCCCCCCACAAACCCAATGCAGTCCTTCGTTTATTCACTAGCCCTTCACGAAGATGGTGCCAAAAGAGCCCCTCCCAAAGCCAAAGCCAAAGCCAAAGCAAAGGCTTTGAAGGCCAAGAAAGCAGCCCTGAAGGGTGTCCACCGCCAAGACAGAAAAGAAAATCCACATGTCACCTACCTTCTGACAGCCTAAGACAGTTTCTGAAGTCAGCCCAAATATCCTAGAAAGAGCGCCCCCAGGAGAAACAAGCTTTACTGCTATGCTATCATCAAGTTCCCCCCTGATCACTGAGTCAGCCATGAAGAAAGTAGAAGACAACACGTTTGTGTTCATTGTGGACGTCAAGGCCAACAAGCACGAGATCAAACAAGGCTGTGAAGAAGTTCCGTGACATTGATGTGGCCAAGGTCAACACCCTGATCAGGCCCAAAGGGGAAAAGAAGGCATATATCCAGCTGGCTCCTGACTACGGTGCTTTGGATCTTGCCAACAAAACTGGGATCATCTAAACTGAGTCCAGCTGCCTAAATCTAAATATAAATTGTTTTCACCATAAAAAGATAAATAAAAATAAGATCACACCAGGTGTGTTCTTTGACCAGCAATGCTGCTGAGAGGGAATTGGTAGTACTAAATGCTTACATTAGAAAAGAGAAACGAGAAAAAGAAGAGCAAAAAAAAAAAAAAAAAAAAAAAACAAATCCAGCAGAAAGAAGGAAATAATAAAGATAAGAGCAGATATCAATAAAACTGAAAACAAGAAAATGATAGATAAAAGCAATAAAACAGGGGCACCTGGGTGGCTCAGTTGGTGAAGCAGCTGCCTCTGGCTCAGGTCATGATCTCAGGGTCCTGGGTGGCTGTTATCAAAAGACCTGAAATAACAAGTGTGGGCCAGGGTGTGGAGAAAAGGGAACCATTGTGCACTGTCGGTAGAAATGTAAATTAGTACACAGCCACCATGGAAAATAGTATGGCGGTTCCTCAAAAAGTTAAATATAAAATCACTGTATGACCTGGAAATCTCACTTCTGGGTATGTATCCAAAGGAAGTGAAATCAGTATCTCAAAGAGATACGTGCACTCCTGTGCTCATGGCAGCATTGCTTACAATAGCCAAGGTATGGAAACCGCCTGTCTATCTACAGATGAACGGATAAAGAAAATGTGGCATAGGGGCACCTGCGTGGCTCGGTCCATTAAGTGTCTGACTCTTGATGTCAGCTCGGATCATGATCTCAGGCTCCTGGGATCGAGCGCTGCGTCCGGCTCCACACTGAGTGGGGAGTTTGCTTGAGGATTCTCTTGCTCTCCTTCTCCCTCTGCCCCTCCCCTGACCAGATAATGCATATCAGAATATATAAGGAACTCCCAAAACTTAACAGTTAAAAAAATAAAACAGTCCAATTAGAAAATGGGCAAAAGGGGCGCCTGAGTGGTTCAGTTGGTTAAACGACTGACTTTTGGTTTTGGCTTGGGTCATGAACTCAAGGTCATGAGATCCAGCCCCCTTGGGCTCCACACTCAGTAGAGTCTGCTCGAGATTCTCTCTCCCTCTCCCTCCCCCTCTGCCCCTCCCCCCACTCATGTGTGCTCACGTTCTCTCTCTCAAATAAATAAATAAAATCATTTTTAAAAAATGAGCAAAAGACATGAAGAGATGTTTCACCAAAGATATACATTGTGGTAAATAAGCCCATAGAAAGTTGCTTAACATCATTAGCCCTTAGGGAAGTACAAATTAAGACCATATGAGATATCACCACACACCTATTAGAACAGCTAAAATTAAAAAAAAAAAATAGTGACAATGCCAAACACTTGAGAGGATGCAGAGAATCAGTTTCTCTCATACATTGCTGGTGGGAATGGAAAATTGTAAAGCCACTCCAGAAAATAGCTTGACAATTTCTTTTAAAAACGAAGGATACACTTATCGTACAACCCAGCAATGGTATTCCTGGACATTTGTCCCAGAGAAATAAAGAGTTATATCCACACAAAAGCCTGTCAAAAGTTGTTCATTGCAGTTTTAATTATAGTAGCAAAAACTTGAAACAACCAAAACATCCTACAAGTGAACGGTTAAACAAACTGGTACGTTCACACCACCCGGTACATTCGCTACTCAGAAAATGAAACGATTCAGCAACCTGGATGGATCTCTGGGACATGGGGGTGGGGAATGCAAAAGATCACATACTATATATTTCCACTCGCGTAACATTCTCAGAATGACAAAAATATAGAGATAGAGGACACATCAGCGGTTGCCAGGGATGAGGGATGGTAAGGAGAGGAGCAAATGTGACTACAAAGGAGTAGCAGAAGGGAGATCTCTGTGGTGATGCCATAGTTCTGTATCTTGACATGGGTGGTGCTTATGCGGATCTATACAAGTAACAAAATATTACAGAACTATACATACATCGTATTGAAGTCAATTTTCCAGTTTTGATACCGTACTATAGTTAGGTCAGATGTGACCATTGGGGGGAGCAGGATGAGGGGTACAGGGCACATGAGACCTTTCTCTACAACCTTTTTAACTCTCTGTGAATCTATAATAATTTCAAAATAAAAAGGGTTTTTTTTTTTAAATCAATATATGATAGTTTGCAGTGATGACAGCCTGGGTTAGACTGTGTTAGCTTTGAAGTTCTGGAATGGGAGAGAAGCAAGCCCATATTTTTGGGATGTGGGAGAGGGGGAGAGGAACAGAACAGACATATGAATTTCAGCTGTGGCTTACACTTCTTCCTTCTTGGTGGCAGAAAGTGGCAGGCAGGCTGTAAAGACCTGGAAAGTGAAGCCTCCAAGGACAGCTTACACGGCATTTCCTGGACCCTAGGGGGTCCTTCACCTCACCATGGGGTTACTCTCTGTCCAGAAGGCAGCCAGCCTCTCAGAGCCATGACACCCCAGAAACTGATCTGTTCTGGTCCTTGGCAAGCCTTCTTTGACCAGTGGAGAGCTAAGGCTCAGGGAAGGGCGGCAACTTTCCAAGTATCACTCAGATAGACTATTGCATCAGAGTGGGGACATGAATAATTCAGACATCTGAGTGAAGGTTGAAGGAGTTTGGCAGTAAGGTAGGAGGGTAGTAAGAGAGGGTGTGGGGGAGACCAGCTAAGAGCCATTGAAATGGTAAAGGTATCAGACGAGCGGACTCAGGACTTAAA